CAAGTCCTGTATGCCAACAGCGATGGCTCACACTGGTCTGTGTCACAGTGCTGCCCTCCTTGAAGCCCCCATTTACTGGTGGCCCACCCGGCGGCATTCAGGCGCGCCCTGCCCTGCTGGGGTCACCATGGCCAGCCCACAGACAGGGCTGTGTCTGCGAGGCCAGCATGCCTCTCATGGCTGCACACTCCTCTCTGTGCAGGGCTCCCCTGGCTGGCGCTGGGCATGAAGCCTTGACCCTCCCCTCCAGGGGCTGCCGGTGAAGGTGGGAGACACTCCCCCTGCCACAAGGTGAGAGCCACTGCCAGAGCCCAGACCGGGAGCTCTGGGCGTACAGAGGAGGAGGGAACAGCTCTGCCCAGCGGGGTGGGGGAGGCTTCACAACGGGCAGCTCTGGAGGGGTGAGTGGAGCACGGGCCCAGGACCAGGGAGGGGAGCTTGTTCTATGAGTGAGGAGTCCAGCCGCCCGGTGTGGCTGCAGGGAAAAGGTGCTGCTGGTGTTGAAGTCAAGGAGTCTGTTTTGTGTGGGGCAAGGATGACGGAGCGGCAAGTTGTTCACCATGAGAGCCATTTCACAATGACAGGGCTCCCGTGGTGACCGGACTGGGCGAAGCGCTGCATGGGAATATTATTCATCAACCCTCCCCCACAGCCCTACGGCAGGAAAACAATTCTCCCCGTTCTACAGGTGAGGCACAGAGAGGTTGAGAGACTGGACTGAGGTCACACAGCAAAGAAGAGGAGGAAACAGGGGTGAAGACAGCCGCCCCACCTCCCTGCACTGGCACCGCGGACTGATCCGTCCAGCTGTGAGCTCCCTGAGGCTGGTGAGGAGCAAGGAGCCACCTGCACATTCTTTGCCATTTTCAGCAAGTTTTCCTTCTGCGTTCACTCTTTATAGCTGGAGAAGCTGTCCTTATCAATTTTTTAGCTGCTTACTTGACATTTACAAATCAAGCTACCGCTTCTAATTCATGAATACATTTGGGATATTAATGGCCAAGGGGAAAGAGGGACTGTTCAGAGGGACTTTTTCATCCCAACCCGGCCCCCTCCAACCAACTCAGACCCAGACAGAAGCCTACAAACAGGCAACACAAGGACACCAGTCACAGCCGAGCCAAGAGCAACGCACCTCACAGCAAGTTAGAGTCCGCAGGAATTTAGCCACACAGAGCCCGGTTAGGTGCCTTGTCTTGTCTTACATGGTGGGTCTTTATTAATTTTTTAAATCTCCTCCTGTTTGTCTGGGGGCGGCTCTCAGAATATGATTTTAAATGCTTTCCATGAGATCACTGAACAGGGAAGGAGCAGGTTGTGAATTTCAAATCTAACTTTCTCATCCAGGAGAAGGGGCTGAGCCAGCGGGTGGGCGACGGGGGCAAGGTGATGAGGTGGGTGTGCAAAGGTCTCCCACCCGGCTGGCTGGGGAAGGGGCTCATGGAGACCCTGGAGTGGCTGGATGACGCCAGGATTGACCCAAGATCCAGTGCTGTCCCACCCCCTCCTGGGACACACTTGGCACCAGTCGCCCAGGAGCGTTGCCTTTGTTTGAAATTACCAGAAAAACACACCCCTCCCCCACAGAAAATCAGACAGAGAGAGAGAGACAGACAACCGTAAAAAAGAAGGTAAAATCCCATGACCCAGACATCGATTCTGGAACATTCTGGAGCTTTAGCCCTCTCCGGGCACACTCTGGTTCTACAATCCATCATGGCCTAAACCTTCCCAAAGCTCCCCCTGCCCTTAGGATCAGCCCCTCACTCCTGTCCCTGACCCAGGAGGCCTGTGTGGACCAGTGCCTGCCCCGCTGCCCTGCCTCTCCCACTTCTCAATGCTCCCAGTGCTCTCTGCTCCCACCTCAGGGCCCCCTGCAGCCTCCACGTCCTCTGCCTGGAACGGGTCCTGCCCAGAGCTGCACGAGGCTGCCTCATTCTCACCCTCAGGCCTGGCCCAACATCCCCTCCTCAGGGAGGCCTTCCGTGCCCACCCAGCTGAATGGCCACCACCACACGCCCCCCCAGGTGGGTCCCCGACAGACCCCGTAGCTCTCTCTAATGAACAGCTCCCGTGCCGCCCTCATATGTACGGAGCCACAGTCCCCCCTCATCAGGCTGAGTGGGGCTCTGCGTGCTCTTGGCCTACTGTTACCCCAGGGCTTGTGACACACCTGGCACCTCATGGGCTCTCAGTGAGACTCAGCAATAGGATGACGGCATGTTTCCTTCCAGTCTCTTTTTCTCTGTGTCTGTTGTTGGGAGGGCTGTTGCTAGCTGAGACCACACGTGCATATCTCGCGGGAACTCCACACGCTGTAACACACGTGTTGTTCCACCGTCTTCCCTGCCAACTCCACCTCATGGTTCAGGTCCAATGTCTTCCTCCTAACACCCCACCCCTACCCAGGGAAGCCCAGATCTGGAGATGCCAGTTCATGGGGGCAATCATAACGGGTACACAGCACTTTACAGTTTACAAAGTGATTCTTTCCTCCATTCCAACATGGCCTCAAAACAACCCTTGGAGGGATGCGAGGCAGGCGAGCCTGACCGCCCCCATTCAAAATGAGGCCCAGAGGGGCCACGTGGCTGCTGCGGTCACCCAAGCAGAAAGCAGATCCAGACTCCAAACAGCATCGTCCATACCCTTACTTCCAATTAGGGAGGCTTCACCTCAAGAAGGAGAGGCAACACAGAGCTACACCAAGAGTTCAGCACTGGGGTCCAACTGCCCAGTTCTGCCATTTACAAGCTGTGTGACTTTGGGTGAGTGACTTCGCTTCTCTGGGCCTTGGTTTTCTCCTCTGTAAAATGGGAAGGATAATAGTTCCTGCCTCATTGTCAGGAAGATTGAATGAGTTACTAATACATGCGAAGGGTATAGAACAGCACCCAGCACCTACTAAACGTTCAGTAAACTTGAGCTTTATAGAAAAATGCCCCTGTCCAAATGCACCACATAGGCACACAGTCCCTCTCTCAGCCATAATCAGCAAACTCTGGGGACCTGAAGCACCGGCCAACCGAGGGGTCTTGCTTTGTGCAGTGGGTGAGTGCCCAAAATACCAGCTGCAAATGGGCTTCTATTCATGCCGTCGCTCGCATGCAAACGCTCCTCCTTCCTCAGTCTGAAGCCCATTCCTCCCTGAGTGACCGCCCTGACATCTGCAAACGCTTCCAGGCAGCAAAGGGGCAAGGCCCGAGGGAAAGAACCTTTTGTAAAAGGAAGACCCCTTTACAAGTTATGAGTTCACACTTTCCACCCATGATGGGGTGTGCACCTGGAAGGCCAGGCTGTGTGTGAGAGACAGTCCTCACCCTTCAGAACCTCCATTCTCCTCTGTCGAATAGGGACGCAAATGGTAGCCACCTCAAATAGCCGTTCCCAAATTCAACAAGGCAGAGGTGGTAAGAGACTGCCACCCTGTGCCTGGCACACAGTGGGGACTTGGCCCACAGCAACTCCAGCCTCTCTGCCTTGGAAACGGCCTCTTGACTCCACCAAGTGCAACCTCCTGTCTTTTGAAACCCACAGCAGATGGGACAAGCAGCCTCCTTCGGGGAAGGGGCCCCTCCTGAGAGTCAGCCCAGACCTGGAACCAGTGTGGGCAAGGTGAGAATCCCAGAGCAGGCCTGCAGGAGCCCTCTCCCCCAGCCTGCACTTCCTGCAGCCCAAACAGGGCCTTTGATTAGAATTTCCCGTTTGAAAAATCAATATTTAAAGGCCTCTGCCTGCCAAACAGAAGGGAAGGCCTTGCTTGTAAATATTTGTTTCGCCTGGCAGAGTCGGGCCCCTGGCTCGCCGCGGCTGCCCTGCCTCGCTCCTGGCCCTCTGCTCGCGCAGTCCCAGCCAACTGCACAGCGGGACGCCCCTGAGGAGGCGGAAGAGACCGTCTGGCAGCTACGTGGGGCTGCGCAGAAAGGTGAGCGGCCCTGCACCCACGCCTCCACGGCAGCAGGCCTGGGTGCTGGGCTGCACAGGGGCCGTCCATCTGTCTTCCCCGGGTGGGGACAGAGACGCCTCACTGTGAGGTTTCTCTGGATTCCAAGGCAAGCGAGTTTTCCCAGGGGGTCCCCCAGGTTTTTTTCTTATTTTGGAAAAAAAGCACAAAGACAAAACCCAGGGGATGTGCTTATACATCATCACCCGTCATGGTGCAGTGTGTGGGAAAGGGCTCTGCTGCTGAGACCAGCAGCTGCCCACATCTGGCCCCTGGAGAAACCATTTCCATGGCAGTGGGTGGCTGAGCTAGGACCAACCAGCTGAGCACCTACCCTGGCACCACCATTCTCCATGCCATTCATTCATTCATTCACCCACTCAGCCATTCATTCATTCATTCATCAATTTCTTTTCTTTTGAGACAGAGTCTCACTCTGTTGCCCAAGCTGGAGTGCAGTGGAGTGATCTCAGCTCACTGCAACCTCCGCCTCCCAGGTTCAAGTGATTCTCCTGCCTCAGCCGCCCATGTAGCTGGGATTACAGATGCCCGCCACTACACCCGGCTAATTTTTGTACTTTTAGTGGAGATGAGGTTTCACCATGTTGGCCAGGCTGGTCTCGAACTCCTGATCTCAGGTGATCCACCAGCCTTGGCCTTCCAAAATGCTGGGATTACAGGCATAAGTCACTGCACCCGGCCTCATTCATCAATTATTTATTGAGGCCCTACCTTTGCCAGGCACCGGGGCCTGGACACTCAAATGGACAAAGACATAAGCAAAGTCCCTTTTGGAGGGGGTCTTCCAGGCCAAAAAACAATTCCCACAAATAAATGGAAAGTCACAACCAAGACAGATGCTGGAGGAGGGGAGGTCCAAGGTGGATGGGAGAAAGGGGCACCTGGTCTGAGAGGTCAGGGAGGATGACCAGGCAGGCACAGGCCAAGGAGCGGGCCAGGCAGAGCAGGAGGGAAAGGCAGGGAGGCAGCCTCGGGAGACGGCGGGAGCCCCCTTCCTGCTCAGCACAGCCGCCCACCTGGGGCAGGAGGGACCTACCCAGCCACTCGTTGAACTTCTTCACCTCGCTCGGGAGCCCCAGCTCGGTGAAGTCCCCAGCGTGGATCAGCACGTCGCCGTAGGGCATCTGGATGGGGTCCGTCCTGGAGTGGGTGTCAGAGACGCAGACGAAGCGGGTGTAGCCCGGAGGCTTGGGGGCATCGTGAGGCACCGGGTCCACCCTGTGGGGAGAGATGAGACTGCGGGTCAGGAGGCCGTGGAGCCATGAGCCTGTGGGTGGTGCGTCTGCAGCCTCCTCCACCACAGTTCACAGCCCCGTCAATCCTGTTCAGATCCACCAGACCAGGGACTGGCCAACCTTCCCAGGGGCCCACCACGGCCTGAATGCTGACTTCCCTCATCTTTAGCCAGGCAAAGCATGTTTGGCCCCCGAGCCTCAGTTTCCCTGTCTGTAACATGGAAACATCAGGTTGTGGGGGCTGTAGTGAGGGTTTAAAGGGAGTGGGAAGCGGGTACAGCGAGCATCTGCCCTCCGAACTGAGGTGCTGCACAGCTACCAACCTTTTGTTCATGATTACCCCCAGAGAAGACTTCAAGATGTCTTTTATTTCCCCTACTCACCTCCCTCCCATGAAGCTTTAGCACCACTGAGATGCCCTACGTGTGTTTAGGTACCTCCTGTCCACATCCGCTTTAGACAGAAGAGCAAGACTTTTTTTGACTCCCCAAGCACCAGATTTTACCCCCTGGGGGCACTATGGCCCCCACTGAAACTGCATGGAATAAAGCCTACAAGTGGGCGATGAGGAGGACTGCCCGGCTGTACAGGGCGCGTCGGCCATCGCAGGAGAGCCGCATGGCAGGGGGAGTTTCAGGAGAAATAAAGAGCCTAAAGGCAAGGTGTCCATTTTTCAAAACTACAAGACAGTGTGATCATTTCTAGACCAAGGGCCTTCCAGGGCTGTGTCAGAAAACACTCCTGAGTCAGAAGACCAGGCTTTGCACAGCCTCGGTCTGCACATCTGTAAAACGAAGCTACTTCACTAAGCAAAAATAACATTTTAAAAAGCGGCATAAATGTAGATTCTTGTGCCTCAGGAGCCCATCGTGGCCCTCTCGTTTGACAGACGAGGATGCCAAGATCCAGCCAGGCTGAGCAAGCGGTCCTAGGCACCCCAGTGCAGAAATGTGGACGTGGGCTAAGACCCCGGCTCCCGGCTCCCCGTGGGCTAAGACCGCAGCTCCCCATCCAGGGCTGTCTCCACTACACGTTGCCTCCCCAGTTGAATGGTTTTACCAGGCTCAAAACTCTTAAAAACAACGCAATGACATTTCAACAAGCAGCTCTCTCCAAATGAGTATGCCGCTTGAGGAGTTGTGTTTAAATCTAATTATGCGGCAAACCAAAAGCGGTGCCATATCAGTTACATAAATACTTTTAAAGACATCTTTCTAATTATCCTTTTTTTTTCAGACAATATACTTCGAAGAAATTTAATTAACACCTTACGAGAGACGTGGGTTCAGCATGCTAATTTGCAGGGCGCACTAGCGCGCTCCATCCGCCGCAGCCGCAGCCGCAGGCGCCGAGCCAGCCTCTCCCCACCATGATGCCGCGGCGGG